CATTAAGATCTGTAATGACGAATCGAATGCCTTTCGTTTTTGTTTTTTTTTTTCTTTTTTTTTCTTTTTTTCAGGGTGTTAGCGCGCTGCACGTCGCTATTAGCGAGAGAAATGTAGCGATGGTCGAGTATCTGTTGTCTCAGCCCGACATCGATCCGGGCGACGCACATCTGCATGCAATCAGAGATAATCAAGGGAGGATCGCCGTGTTGATATTGAACAAGCTGAATGAATTGACGCCGGGCCTCGAATACGCCGGTGTCACCCACAGCCCGGATTTCCCGGATGACACGACGCCGCTCGCGGTGGCGGCACAATATGGGCATTTCGAGATGATTGATATGCTCAGATTCCGACGTCACATGCTGCCAAAACCGCATCTACCTAGTTGCAACTGCGACGAGATTTGCAAGTATGATTATGCGTACTCGAGATAACACTCGCGAATTTCAGTTCGCGAAACCTTTTCGTTCGCCGTGAACTGTTGGTTGTTGAAAACATCGCGACTGTGTAGAGTTATAGTTACATTTTTATCCTTGTCTCTTTGACCCCCCCTGTAGACCGGAAAGGGAAAAGGGTGACATCCTGACCATAGAAAAAATGAGACTGTTCTTGTATAAGGCGCTATCGAATCCAGTGTACATTTGTCATACCGAAGAAGATCCTATATTAAGAGCTTTTCTATTATCGACCGAGCTTAACAAAGTAGCTACGTTCGATAAAGAGTTCTATCCCGATTATAGAGCGTTGTCCGATGTTAGTGAGATCCTATTTCTTAAATTTATTATTATTATTCATTATTATCAGCTAGTAATTATCAGCGAAACTTTAACAACCTCTAATTGCATTTTTGTAAGAGACAAGAGATGACGAATAATCTAATCTGTGAATATATTCTTTGATGATGTATATATTCAAATATTATCCGTTGCTTATGAAAAGTTAATTCATCATAGTTTTGTGATAAAAGGAGGTGTCCCAATTTGCCACAGACTTGATCGGATGCGCTCGTACCTCTGAAGAAGTTGAATGTGTACTAAGACAAATAACCGGTTTTGGTCGTACTTGTACCTTCGTATATCCGCGACTCTTGCTAGCTTTGGATCACGAGCAAAAAACCTTCATAGCTCATCCAAACGTACAACAGGTACGGTGATATACCTGGCTGAATAATAAAAAAAAATCTACGTCTACGTCGAAACATTATTTATTTCCATAAAATCTTTTAACTTTAATAGCTTTTCGACCGAATTCCGTAAAACTTGTGAAATGAATGTGCTTAATATCTTAGGATATTTATCAAAAATCAAATCAATTTCAAATAAACACAGATTTTCACAAAAGCACAGATATATTTTATATAAAGTAACTGTGACGGAAGTTGAGAAATTTCATTAAGAAAGTTATATTTGATTTTTCTTCCAGCTCGTCGAGAGCAAATGGATCGGTACGTGGCACGAATGGAAGGTGAGAAGTACGTGGCTGAAGTGCCTGTCGGTAATTCCGCAGATGGTCATGCTGCCGATCATCGCGTTCATCGTGTTGCTCGCACCGAACTCGAAGCGAGCCCAGTTTTATGAAATCCCGGTTAACAAATTTCTCTCCTCCGTGGCGAATTACCTGATATTCCTCACATTCGTATTTTTGCAGTCGCGCAGCGACAAGATCGAACAGCTTCGCGGGCCGCCCAACACTGGTGCCAATGCACGCCTGATTATCTTCGATCGAAGTCGGATCTTAATCGAGTATTTGTCGTTTTAATCGAGCGTTTGTTTTTTCTTTAGGATACGAATGGATTCTCGCCATTTACGTGATATCGTACACATTCGCATTCATTCGACTCTGCATCGTGGACGGTCCGATTAGAACATTTAGAACACGTACAAATTGGTAAGATGCAAATTGACTTACGATAAATAATTAAGGAGAAATGAATTTTAATATATCGCACGCAAAATCACGCAAATTTATAATTTCTAATTAGTTTTTATAATTATTTGTTTATAAGATGTAAATACTCTTTCCTTTTTTCATGTAATGCAGGTATGAGCTGGTTATGATCATGCTGTTCATCCTGACGTTTCTCTTCTGGATAGTTGCTGCGGTGGATGTTAGGATAAACGGCCAACGTGATCTAGAAAGAAAATATTGGCACAAAAACGACCCAACATTGATAGCGGAAGGGATATTTTGCCTCGCGACTATTATGGCTTTTTTTAAACTTTTATTTATCTGCCAGCTAGACTACGATCTGGGACCATTGCAGATTTCTTTAGTTAAGATGATCAGAGACGTTCTCCACTTTGTTGCAATATTCGGTATCATCACCATCGCGTTCACAGTCGGTAAGCTACATAGCATGTAATGAATTGTGTAAAAAGTCTCTTTGAATTATCAGTAGAATAATTCTAAGTGTTTCATTTTGTGAAATATGCATAATTTTAGCATCATCACCAAAAATTGTCAAATTAATGTCTGCGAATTTGCAGAGAAAAACAGAGCTCGAAAAACAGTTCGAAAAAGCTTTTTGCACATTCCAATATTTTCTTTTTTTTTTTTTATTAGCCCGACGTTTTATCAACTTGAAGCCTTTCCTCAGGATTGTGTCATCTTTATCAGTATTACAACGGAATGGTGCAGACCGATGACGAGTCGAAACTGAAGACGGAGCAAGAAACTTCCTTTGTCGACTTTAAGTCCACTCTAAAAACTCTCTTCTGGGCTGTTTTCTGCATGAGTCCCGTAGAAAGCGCCGACGTGATCATCGAGAACCTTCCAGGTGAAAGAGAGTCAGAGACGATAATCAATCATCATACGTTCACCGAATTTATCGGTTACTTTGCTTTTGCCAGTAAGCGCATTCATTGTTACTAACGATCTATAAAAACGACCTTATCGATATAAATCAATTGTCTTAACGACTTGATTCCTATTCTCCAGGTTTCCAAATTATTTCCGTGGTGATCGTTTTGAATATGCTGATTGCGTGTATGGCAAATACGTTCACCAAGGTGACTGACAACGTCAACGTGGAATGGATCTTTGGTCGAACTGAAGTTAGTAAAACTTGTTTATCAATTCGCGTTCGCGTTCGTTTATCAAGCGCGTTTTTCGGTGTTTATTTTTCATAGTTTACAATATATTTTTTTTCAAGCTGTGTACTCAAAGTGGGAAACGTGATAACTGGAAGAGATCGGATCGAGCACGAAATAACAAGTCGCGGACCATTTGCAACTGTCAATAACGCATGACGTTTTGCTCCGCTTTTTCAGGCTTACGTCGATGTCATGCTTACAACAACGCTTCCACCTCCGTTCTCTATTTTCTCCATTTTCACGGGAATGCGACCGGTGATCGAATACCTAAAGATACTAATTAAACCACCACCCGACAAACGGGCACGATGGGATTTCATAAATTGTTGCTACATAGTCAGTATACTAAATTTCAATGTTGACCTAACGCGTTATTTAAAATGAAGCACCAATTATCGAATTTTACGAAGCGGAAGTACATTTCGCGTTTCGCATCGAGTAACGTTTTGTCTCTCTTCATAGCATTTTATTCATATTTTGAAGCATTCTCTTTGTAAATGTCATCGTTGCGATGATAGATCGATTAATGATCGATCAATACATAAAAGCGGAAATATGTCTAATTTATTTATTTATATCCTGCTACAGGAGGATTTAGAGGAGAAAAAGGATATTCGATTCGCAGAAGTCATGACGCAACTGGTACAGCGTTATCTCCGTCAATATGAAAAGAGAATAGAAGAAACGGACGTGCAAAAGCTGAGGAAAGAATTGATAGAATTCAGCAATATTCTGAAAGAGGCTCTCAGTCCAGCTTAAAGAATTTCATGGATATTTCATCTCAAAGAGATATTCCTATTCATGTCTTCACATTATTTTTTTTTAATCCTTTGCACAGTCAGAAAGCAGTGTCAGAAAGCTTAGCAGGATCCTCGATCTTTCTAATAAAGATCAATAATCCTTACTTCGTAGGAAATAAGAAATATTTTTTATCAACATAAGTTGTTTTTATGACAATTTATTTATTAATAAATAAATAAAAAATATATAAATTGAAATATTACCATTTAGATAGGATCGAACTTGACGGAAAATCCGTTCTTTTCGAAGGAAAAAAATAGCGTTTCAAAATATCCAGGGAGGAAAATGTAGAGAATATATATATATATATACGCGTATAGATTTTACGCAGTAAGCAAGAGGCAAGCGGGAGCGTTAACAGTTTACGTCATTATGCAAAAGCAATTTCCTACGGTGATTGTTAATCTAATTCGCATGCAACTTCCGCCGGAACAGTCAGCGGGGGATGACGAGAGACGGGGGGGGTCGCGCGACATCCTCAGCGAAATCAAGGGAGGGAAGTGCGTGTGGAAGTGCGCGAGATCGAAAATGACAGATCGAAGCGGCATTTAAAGATCGACGAGTTAATTCCCGGAAATCTTATTCCCTTCCGCTTATAATCTCGCGAATTATTCCGTCGCCCTCCGCCGCTCGGCAACCCTCGTTAATAATTTGCGGGCGGTAAT